GGGGGGGGAAGGAGAGACGGGAAGAGAGGGACGGAAAGGGGCAAAGAGGAAAGAAGGAAGGAGAGAAAAAAGCGAGGGAGGAAACAAGGAAAGGGAGGGGGGGAGAAAGAGGGGAGGAAAAAATAAAAAAAGGGGGACGGGAGAGCGAAGGGAAGGAAGAAGCCGGGAGGGGAGGGGAGGGAAGCAGGGTCCGCTGGAGCCAGAAGGAAGCACACAGCGCCGCAGCGAGCAGGAAGTCGGAGTGGGAGAGCCGCAGAAAGAAGAGAGGGTGGGAAGAGGAAGCAGCAGCAGAAGAGAAAGCAAAAGCTCCCCGTGCTGCCCGCCTGCCTGCCCTGGACTCAGCATCTCTGGCTCCTGCCCGGGCGGGAGAGCTGCGCCGCCGCCGCCGCCGCTGCCATGGCCCGGGAGAACGGGGAGGGCAGCGCCTCCTGGAAGAAGCAAGCCGAGGACATCAAGAAGATCTTCGAGTTCAAGGAGACCCTGGGAACGTAAGTGATGATCGGGCCGGGATGCGGCCGCCCAGCCGGTCCTGCTGCTGGGGCTGGGGATGGGAGCCGGACCCACCGTCCCGCTCCGCTGGCGGGGCCGGGCTGGCTGGCTCCTGCCCATCCATCCCCATCAGTCTTGTGTGTGTGAGTTACCGACAGATGGGGAGTGTGTGTGTGCATGGTGTCCGTATGCCAGCCTGCGCCCGAGGTTGTGTTTGGTGGGGTGCGATCGTGTGGACGAGCCAAAGAGTGTCTCTTGCTGCGTGTTTGTAGGCATTTGAGTGTGTGTGGTGTGTGTGTCCGTCCGGGATGCACTGGTGTTGGCGTGTTTCTTGTTTCTGTCTCGTGAGTGTGTGTTGGAGAAGGTTTGTGTTTGTGTGGATTGAGGAGGTGTGTGCTGTGTGTCGTGGTGTGTGTGTATGCATTTGAGTGTGTGTGTGTGTCCGGATACCTTTGTGTTGGTGTTTGTCTGTCTCATGAATGTGTGTTTGAGAAGGTTTGTGTTTGTGTGGATTGAGGATGGATGTGTGTGTTGTGATGTGTTTGTATGCATTTGAAGGCTTGCTGGTTTGTGATTGTGTCATTTTTGTGTGTGTGGTGTTTCATATATATTTGAAAATGTGTTAGAATTAGTGTGTATGCCTTGATATGTATTATTATGTATATAAGACTATATATGCATATATTGGTGGCTATATGTGTTTTAGTAAGTGTGTGAGTGTACCTGTGTTGTTTGGTTTGTGTTACTGTGAGTGCCTGTGCGTGTGTGCTATTCCATCCAGCACTTTGGTGGGCACCAAAGCATCCAAAAGACAGCCCCACTTATATACAGTATCTCATTTTTTTCCCTTTGGGTGTGTAGCAAGAAGTAGGTTGAATCAGTAATAGAAATAACAATATATTTGTATACAGAGAAAATGGGTGTATATCTAATATTGACCCCCCTGGTCAACTCACTTTCTGGTCAACTGACCCCACTATTCAGACTAGTATGTTTGTTTTATCAAAAATATTAATAGAAATGTAATTTAAAATATACATAGGCTGAGAAAGAGAGAGAGAGAGCTATCTTGATTGGGCAATGGTAAAGGTAGTCTGACTTCCATGCTTTCTGCTAAAGCTGATGGCAGAGTCTCTTCGTAGAAAAAAGATCAGAAATAATAAGAGTGGGTTGGATGTGTTTCATCTAGTACGTTACCATAGTTTAACAGTTGTTGCTGGTTTCACTGTTTTGTTTTATTTTGTGTCTGTTCATAAAGATTAGTAAAATGTTAGACTTTTTGAAGGTTCAGAATAAACATGTACAGATGGTAAAAAAAGGGAACAGGATGTAGTAAAATACTTTTCACTTCAGCAAGGAGGCGTGTGTATTTGTTTAAAAAAAGTTTGTTTAAAAGACATTATGGATGTGGATGGCCATGAGTTCTAGGAGAGGTTAGCATATGGACTGCTTGTATTTGTTGACTTTACGCTTCTATAGCATCTGGCTCAGTCACGTTCTGCGTGTCCCTGGCAGCTGTATTTTGAGCAGCTTTACACGCAACTTTAGAATGACTATAAGTGATATTAATTCTAGGTTGTACTTTACATACTGAGCACTGTATGTGCTACTTACAAAATACAGTTAGACTAGTCTAACATAGTATTTCAACTTCTTTCTGCTTCCAAGGGAGGGCTCTCTGTAAACATTAGTATATTTTTGGTTCACTTTTGATTTCCTTGTGAACAAACTGTGAGTAAGAATCAGACTAGACATTTAATGTTGAACTAGGTCATGCATCTGGATTATAATAAGTAGACATTGTAATATTTAGTAAAATGCATAGTTCAGTTAATCGAACTAATGTTTTACAGCTCTTTCAAGATGCAAAGTGCAGTATAAGTGCTAAATGTTATTATTTTAGTTTATTCTCATCCTCTTTGTCTAGCTCTTGTACTGACAACATTTGGTGTAATAGGAAACATGTCCTTACTTGTCATCTTAGGTATGTAATTCTTTGCCTGCACTAAAGGGTGTTGGAAAAAGTAAAATCATAACATGAAGAGATTAATTAAAGCTGCAAGTCTGTTCCCTGTGGTTTCCACTATAAATAGGCTTGGCATAATTCAATTTTTTTTTAATGGATAATATCAATATTTATTTTAACGCATTTTTTATTTTCATTTAATTAAATTTTCATAGTTGTGGGAAATTATGGGAGGGTCAGACAATAGGGGTGACAGATAATTGTTATTTAATGTAGATGTTGAGATTAAAAAGTTAAAGTTTTATAACCATTAAAACACAAATTATCAACATCACATGTCAAAATGTACAAAGTAAATTCTAATACATTCTCTTTGCCTATTTGTAAATGTCAGTTATTATCATTGGAAATATTTTTGTTGGTTTGTGTGTATGATGAAATCAACATTTACTGACATCTACTGATTAAAAATCGAATCCTTCCAAGCCTAATTATAAACCTCTGTCACCACAGAAGATTGTCTGTGAAGTTCTCTCCGCATTGTATGAGTTGTGCCATTGAAGACTTCCTATGTCTGGGGCTGATCGATCATGTCTCCATTGAAATCAGTGGAAGCACATTAGAGACCCAAAGTGGCTATGTGCATTTTATCCAATGGTTCAAATATACTGGTGTTACTGTTGCCATTGAAATTAATTAAATGTAGCCACTGAGTAGTTTGTGCCCTTAAAGATTATTTGTTAATGTCACAATTTGCAAGCTCCGGTCACAGGATTCTATTTAACTATAGTTGTAAGCAATGAAGTTTTTAGATGTGACTTAGTTTAATAGTCAAACTGCAAAGTTTTGCAAAAAAAAAGGCAAATTAAATTAGAAATAATTAACATATTATGGAAGACAGATCAAAGTCAAAGGGAGCTGGCATAAGGAAAGTAGGACCGGCCCTATTATGACAATTATAAATATTTTTACATTTAAAACCCAATATTTGTGAATCAGTTCCTTTACCACTCTTGGAGAGAGCATACCCTAGTAGCAGTGTGCAGACCTGTTAATCAGGAAATCTGAGTTCTAATTTTGTTTCTGCCACTGACTTTCAAAGGTCCCGAACACCTGCCAATCTCATTGACTTAAATGGAACTTGTCAGTGCTCAGATCTTCTGACAAATTAGACCATTTGCTGTCCAACTCACAAAGCCCAGATCCTCAAAGGTATTTAGGCAAGGCTCCTAGTTTCCATTGAAATCAATGGAAGATCAGAACATACATAACTTGGAGTGTCGGGGTCCAAGACCCTGAAGGCCCTCCCATTAAAGTCTGTGGACAGGCTCTCAGTGTTTTAATTGGGAGTTATCTCAGGCCATGAGGTTCAAGTGATCAAGTCCTTTATAATATGATTTACAAACAAAGCTGAAGCCTGATTTGGTCCCTTCTACAATATAATGCTGAACCATGTTGGAAATGACATATGTAAGCTAATTCCACAATATACTAGATTTTTCATAGTGTAGATGGGACCTTAATTTTCGTGACTCAGTTTCCCCATCAGTAAAAATTGTATAATAATACTTATTTGCCTCAGAGGTGAAAAACTTTGAGGCCCTCAGATGAAAGGTACTAGATGAAGGTTCATATATTTTCTAGTTCTCTGTCATCTTTTATCTAAGGATGTCAAAGTGCTAAAAGCACCTATAACACAAGAGCAGCCCTTTTCCTGTGTTCTCAGGATCTCTCTAGGTGGCTGTGATGAAATAAGCTGTGGTAAAGAAATCACAGAACCCCCAAATCAGGACAGAAAGTGAAAGAAAAACTGTTTTTCAAATATAATACAGTAGCGGGGGACACAGGGAATTGCCTCCTTTGGAATGCTGAAGTCTTGGTCATTTGCCTTCAGTGAATGCTCTTGTGCAGTGGTGTTTTCTTAAGGAGTTGGCTGTAGTATGAAACTGGTTTAGATCATACAATTTTGCAAAAGTTTTTCCCCTGGTGCTGGTAGCAGTGTGAAATTGACTAGAGTCACAAACATAGCCCTGGTCAATTTCACACTAGGGCTTGGACTACAGGGGAAAAGCTTCTGTTCATTAGCAAAATCCCAGTAAATCTCTGCTCCTTGGCAATCCTGAAAGTAGAGGAGACCAGGAAAGGACATAAGAGAGACAAATATAAAGAGACAGAGATAAAAGAGTGAGGTGTGTGAGAGAGAGAGATGTAAACAGAGAAGAAAAAAGGGGAAGGAGACAGAAATGGAAATGAAGAGGGCAGAAAAGAAAGACTAAAGCGGAAACTGCTCAGAAAGGAGAAGTGAGAAGATGAAGATATGGGAAGGAAGGAAAGCGAGAGTGAGAGAATACTGTTGAAAAATCTCTCTGAGAGCCTAGCACTCAAGCAAAATTCCCATTGACTTCAGGAATTGGGTTCTTTTGTTTTGTATTGACATCACTTTGCACTGGAAATGATGGTCCTGATTTATCCATGTGTTATTCCAGTTTTACCCCATCCAATGGTGTAAAAAAAGAATAACATGGTGGTGAACCAGACTCTATGTAGGTAAGTTTGGTAGTGCCTTTGTTGCCTTTATCTCCATTTTTGAAGTTGTATGTGTTCACTCCTGAATATTGTGTTGGGACAAATAACTAAGAGGAAAGTCAATGCAGAAGGAAATATATTTCTCCTAAAACCAAACAAAAACATAGTGATAAATATTGGCCCACTTCTGCAGCTGATGTACATTGTCATGGCTCCATTAAAGTCAGTACAGCTACATCAATTTACATTAGCTGAAGAGCTGGCCCACTGTTTATCTTTACAAAGTTCAACAAATTCACCTATTGTAGCTCTAGACAATCAATTTACCCACTTGGACAGGTGGAAAACTGCGTCGACTTGCCACTGGGAGATGTAAAGTTTCACAACAGCAATGGAATCTGTTAAGAAAATAGATAATCATTTAAATACCGTTCTCTCTGTAAGCCCTTGAAATTTTAAAGCCAGGTCAATGACAATTTTTAGAGCTGATAATGTGACATTCCAAGA